GAGCAACCTGTAGTGAATAAGAAACGAGAACCATAGATAACCGCCAACCATTAGGCCACGCCCACCTCAGATTCAGAGGTCAAAGAGATAAGTATTGTTACATGTAATCCTTACATTGAAAAAACTATTCACGTTTGTAATATTCTAACGATTTTAGAACTGATAGATCTCTGTCTCTCACACACACGTTCTCATTGTAATTCTATAAATTCATAATGATAACGTTTTAGTTATGCCCTAATCTACTGTATTTGGTAAATGTACTAATACTGGTCGACGCGAGACATGTTCAGGTACTTTTGTGTGGTAGAAATTCGTTTTAAAATTAGTCACGGATACCCGAAGAAGACAGACCAATGTTCTGTCGAAACATGTAGTTGTTGCACCATCAATAAAACTTTTCCTTACGTTTATAAACCGTTGTTTGCCCATCTATTATTATATTAGCTCAATGTGCTTCCTTACCCAAGTAGCCGTAGGTACAACTAACTCGTGTGGTTGTAGACGCATGCTATTTGGTAAAAGTAAAAACATATGGATAAGTTTCTTTATTTAACGTTCAGTGAAATAATCGATGCTTTCTGACGACCAAAGAGATTCGTGACTTTCTATTTTTAGTACACCTTTCATGGTTGATAAAGAGGCTTTATTGGATCCCCGGAGCTTCTCTTCACAGCAGTGGCTCTGAGTGCCACGTCACACGTCAGCTTCTCTTTTATTGATCAACGAATTCTTTTAACTACCATCTCCTAATCCTGGTAGACCGGTCCCAAGTAGTTCTTATGAGGGTTTTACGTCGCCCCCAGCAAGCTATAGCAGAACTCAAGGTCAACCTCTGAGTCCGTCAACCTTTTACCTGATTCACCGAGTGCTTCAAGTCTCTTGTCAGAAGTGCCGGTTTTCCATTTGGTAATTGCCATCATTAACAAGGTGCAAAAAACAGAAACGGAATAATTTTGAAATGCTGTGTCAAAGAGCAGAAACCAGTTTGCCATAAACATACTTTCCTAGGCTAAAAAACTTGACTCGGAGATCAACAGACATTATTTTATTTCATTATTTCAGAGTTAACAGCAATTTTCTTATTAGCTTTTTTCACTTCCTTTCTTGAAAATGGGAAAATAAGCCTAAAATACCATACAGTGTTATTGTTTATTTAGGACAGAGCTGCACAATGAGCTACGTGCTGTGTCCACCGCAGGGATTGAACGCCGGATATTAGCGTTATAATCTTTCAACTTAACTGCTGATCTGTTTGGTGGGGGTGTGTTTTATTTAAAAAGTGATATTTAATTTAATTTTTAGACCATCTGAGTCAGTACAAATTTGTTTTTACTTATTCCATCAGTTTGGATCCTTCGTGTAATTAACAAGGTATTCTTAATATATTTATTTATGTTTAACCAGTAAATGAGCGTAAGGGGAATTTATATTATTGGTACATTCATCAATAGTTTAAATTTCTGTATGTGGCGTTTTCTTTGAGTGCAAGTAACACTTACAGCAGTAGAAAAACATTTCGTATTCACCTATATTACTAAGCAGCATAAGCACTCTAACACTGAGAGGTAATCATACCAAAAACTCCAAGTATGTAATTCAAATCAAATACAGTTTACCGAAGACAGTACTGTATTATTACTGAGAAATATGACATAAATTCCAATTTCTGGCCATTACAATGTAACGAAAAAAACGAAGTATTTTACAATAATATATAAGCATAATTACAAATCCATCTTTAGTAGATCTTTCTAATAATTAAGTATTCGTGTGTTTGGTACATAGTAAGTAATAATATATAAGTATAATTACAAATCCATCTTTAGTAGATCTTTCTAATAATTAAGTATTCGTGTGTTTGGTACAAGAAGAGTACCATCAAAATAAAAAACATTCTATGGCTCTGATATCTCGAGCTAACACAATAAATACTTGTTTTAGTTATATAAGTGTCGATAGAAAACTAATTTTCAAAAATTGATAAATTCTAGTATTTTCTAGCACAATCTTGTCGTTTGGCTCGCATTAAGGAACATTCAGGACAGATAAAGGAAGTTTTAAATTAGGGTATACGTCCAGTAGGTGTCTACCATACACGTAGTATTACTAGAATTAGTTATATAACTATACACTGATATCCTGTCGTCTAACGACTTCTTGTCTTGAGTAGAGCAACAGATGTTCATAATATGTGGTTAGTACATTTGGTAATGTAGTAGCACCACAGGCCATGCTTTGATTACAGCGATTTTTTTTACCGTTTTGATACGTTGTTCCAGTAATAGATATTGAAATAGATATCGTAATAATAATAATCCCTCCAGTAGAGCCTAACAGGCGGGACTACGTCACGCTACGAACACTAAAACACGTTGTAGTTCATGGTAGAAAAAAAAATCATAGGTACATTTAGTATATTTGTCAAATAAATCGTATATTTTGTTTTAGGCTTACAAGTTACACAAGGATCGAAGTTTGCCTATAATTTCCGTCACGCCTTGCTAGGTTATGATTACTGAACTTTGAATACTTATAATATATATATATATTAATTATTAAACCTTAGATGTTATTTTGCACTAACTTTTTAGCGCAATGTGTCCCTTTTTTTAAAATTGTTCAACTATTTTAATTTTATATTCTTTTTTTGAGGATTTCTTAAAATCTGTTGTAATGTTGATTTGATTAATCTGAAGGTTTGTACACTATATTTTAAAAGCATATAAGGTAATGTCGATTGTTATAAAATATTTGGAATTAGTATTTTCATATATTTAAACAAAAATCGATATGCTTGTGCGGTTGTCAGTACTTTTTCTAAACAACGACACATCGTTATTTGTTTAATTGTTGTTACTGTTACTCTTTTGATACAGGTATGATTTTTATCATTGTTCTTAGTTATTTATGTGCTATCAAGCGTAGCAGTGGTGGCCATAAACAGATTGTTCTCATTGCTTGGCTTTTTTCATAGTGCAAAAGCAGTCATAATTAAAATAATTATAACGCGATAAATTTAACATTATATTATGTACGTCTATATTGAAAGGTATAGACTCAACAACGAGGGGGGAGAGATTATGGAGTCCTGTGTACAAGTGATCAATAAATTGTTTAAGACTGAAAAACTTCATAAATTAATGACTTTCGTTGAGTGTACACTGTATATAAAAACAGAAGTTCCATTTCTAACAAAATGAAAAACCTTTTGCTGCTCTACGGACACAAAATATGAAGTGTGTATACACGCGTGGTGCAAAATCAGCACAAAAAATTAATAAAGGTAAAAACCTTATCAGCCGCGCACAGAAAGTTAAGTTGTGTAGCTTACGTTTATGGTTGAAATTGGGCCCGGTATGGCCTGGTGGATAAGGCGCTCGACTCGCGGGTTCGAATCCCAGTCCCACCAAACATGCTCGTCCTTTCAAAGAGTAAGAAACAGCTTTAGAAACGATGGCAGAGCAAGATCTGCCATCGGCTCAACGGTCCGCAAGGGACTATGGGGAAAAAAATGGTTGAAATTAAATGTGAAGAGTGATATTACTGGTAGTCTTACTAAGAGATCTAGGGTTGTTGTTGTTTATTTTCCAGCGGCAAGTGGCATAGGTAATGTTTATCTTGCTGTTTCGGACTGATTTTGGACTTCAAATTTGATGTAAACTGAATATATAAAGTATCATCACGTGTGCAGATTTTCAGAAATATAGAGACCTATTAAAAAAAAAAGCAGACTTAAACATCACAACTGGGTTTCAATAATCAGTCTTGGAAGCTTTAGGCATAACAGTAGCGTTCAAGCCAAATAAAACCCAACGACTGTTTTCTGGGACCTAAAATATAAAGTGAAACCACGATGAACAATGTTTTTGGAGCAAATAGCGTCTTCCCAGATCGTTTTGATTGCGTTTCTTCCTCAGGTTTGGAAAGCTCCTTTGACGCAGTTCTGGCGACAAAAGAAGCTTTAAGTACAGTCTGGAATCAACCTGTTCTATTTTTTAAATAAGGTTACGCGTACCTCACGCAATTAATCCTAAAGTCAGTGAAATTTTTTTCGGTCTTTATATTTTTATCATCTTTGTTTTATTGTTATTAGCAGTAACGAAACTATAATACGGTTAATATCAGAATGAGAAGTACTATTTATCTTAAAATCGTCAAAGCAAAAATAACACATCGAAAATATCACACGTGTAAGGCACTGATGACAGAAAAGTATTGAAAATTAACGATTTGACAAGATGTGCAATCTTGAATTAAAAAAAGTCATTTTCGCCTAAAAATGGAATTTACGGTTGGGTTTAATATATGATCAAATAAAACATCACTTGTTATTTGATCATATATTAATCCCAACCGTACAAAACATCACTTGTTATTTGATCATATATTAATCCCAACCGTACAAAACATCACTTGTTATACGGTTGGGATTAATATATTATCAAGTGATGTTTTATACGGTTTGGATTAATATATTATCAAGTGATGTTTTATACGGTTTGGATTAATATATCATCAAAAGACAAGTGATGTTTTTGCTCGCCAGTTTAGTACAAGCAAAAAACAAATCAATATCTGTTATTAACTTCTGATCAAAGGAATCTTCCTATATAACTAGAGAACAACAACAACATCATAGCTAAATGGATATAACTTCCTGACAAAGAAATTGTTAGAGTTTGTTGATTCATCAGTTGGATACCCTCGCTGTTAATGGCATTACTGACTGTAATTCCGATTACATTTCATGTGTTCGGCCAGTTTAGGGGGTTTAGCTTAGTCCTAAATCCGAATACTGAGCTATCAATAAAAAAATAAATTATAATTAAAAAATAATGTACAAATAAAAAAATAATAATATATAATATATAATAAACATTTTAATGAATACTGTTAATGAAACTAATTTTTTTTTTTATGGCTTTTGTAAAGTAACATTTCTGCCACAGAAGCACAATTTTGATAAAGTAACTTTATATTTTTATATTTTATTTCAGTTCTAGTCTCTGTGAATGCGTTGCCAAAGGTGAACAAAGATGTTGTGGAGGGCGAAACGGTTCGTCTCCAATGTAGGTTCAACCCAGCACTGTCATCAGGAAAAGTTTTGTATTACTGGATCAGGACGAACAATGATGGAAAAGACAATGCGGCTATTAGTGGTGTGGCCCTAGACCCACACTATCAAGTGGAATTCGCCCCAAACGACGGCAGATACGACCTTCTTATCTCGCATGCAAAGTACGACGCAGACAATGGTCAGTTTGAATGCAAACTTAAGGAAGGGGGTAGTGGAGCCGACATTCATAACATGGCTTTCTCAGTTACGGTCCTCAGTAAGTACAGTCGATAATTTTACACCAGTGCAAGCATTTTCACGCTATTGTTTATACTGGTTAAAGGAAGGGGAAAACAATATAAATTACAAATAAATAATTTGAGGTTCAAATCCAGCTTTTATTGTTAATGTGTTCAGGAAATGTCAGCGTGTACAAAAAATATTTAAGGTTTCGAAATTTACATGAAATTGCCTGCAGTTGCAAAATCGTAAGGCTATAGTATAACATAACGTTTTGGTACAACATGGGATCCTTGGTCCATCTCGGATGTTCCATCCTTCAAACGAAACTAAAACTATATATAAATACATCAAAACACTTAAAGCCAGCCCTAATCATTCATATATTTTTCAAGCTTTCTCTTGAACTCACTTAAATTTATTGCTTCTACATCATCTGAAAGCAACCCATTCCGAAGACCAACCACTCTTGTTAGAGAAATAAAACTGTTTTAGCTGAAGATGCCTCCTACTCTACCAAAATGTATATTTGTGTCCCATAGTCCTATTGTTCTCACTGTTAAGTATGAAAAATGATGATGCATCAACACTATCAATTCCCTTTACAATCTTAAATACCTCAATCAGGTCTCCCCCCCCCCCATGAGAGATTTCAACCTCTCCTCGTATGACAATCTCTCTATCCCAGGCATCATTCTAGTAATCCTTCTCTGAACCATTTTCAACAGTTCACTCTTCTCCCTAAAGTAAGAAGCCAAAGAGTGAATACAATATTCTAAATGTGGTCTAACCAGTGACTATATAACGTATTCAACCATTGCACCAAAATCACTTTCTTTTATAACACTATTAAGGTTATTCCCATCCAAATCATACTTATAATTAAAAATACGATAATCCACATGCATTATATTAATTAGTCTCGCCAGCCGTTTCCACACTACAATTTATCTGAAGTAGTTTTGAAAAAAAACCGTTATTGAGAATTTCGAAATTAAAATAATTATACATCAGTTTAGTTTTTTGTAAAATTTATAAATGAATTTGGAAATATATAATGTGTGAATTTTTTTACTGATCCAGATGTTATACTGTTAACACACCATAAGTTAAAAATGTACGACCTCTAATCCTTTACACCCACTTTAACTTTGCTGTATTTCACACATTATGGGTCGAATATTTAGTTTTTCGCAAAATGTTCGACCGTTATTGGCTTAGCGACGCCTAGTGGTGATCGTGTCGAGCTGCTTGTCGGAAGGCCCATAGTTCGTGTTGTCGTTGAACATACTTCGCTGTTGGCTTGTTCTAAAAGGGAACACTCGTTTCCGCTATTCAGTGAAGAACAGCAATGTAGGCGGCTTGTGGTGACTAGTGATTTTCTTCCTTCCGGTAAACAGCTCGAAATTAAAGATGACTACGCCAAAAACATTAGAATCTTTGACCTGGCCGTTTAGTCATGTGTCGCATAAGATGCCATCGCATATTATACTTTCATCTTAATCTATTAAAATTATTTTAAGACCAATTTGAAGTGACTATCAATACCGAAAAGTGAAAATAATGGCAAACATCAAGAAAGTTTATCCTAAACCACTGCAAACGTTTCATTGAATTTTATTGCTATGTTTTAAATTAAGCCATTAAAAGAATATAGAGGCAATGATTTACATTTATATGGGAAAAAGTAGTGTCCTTTTTCTTGTTTATTTATTGCCCTGGAGTTTCTAAAATTGCTTGGTTTCAGAACTCAGAAAAACAAAACAAAGATCCGTGACAGGGATTTAGTTTTTAAAGAAAAGAAACTTTCCAAAATGGGGTGTTCCGGGATATTAATATCTCCCTTCGCCCCGCTCATGATAAATTATTTGCCGAGGTGCGTGAATTTGATAAATTTTGAAAGATTGATCACATGTTTCACTATGGTGAATATGAAGACTGGAAAAATGTCTGGAGGGTCCGGAGGCAGAGAGAAGATCAAGGCCGATGATGTCATTGAAGAGACGAAGCAAGGCGACAAACACTCGACAAACTACATCTGACTCGGGACTGAGTGGGTTGCAGAACGCTATTTATGATGCTCGTGATGTAATTATTCTTAGCTACGTGATTGACCTATTAAACGTAATATCATCAAACCCCCGTCACAATTTTGAGTTGCAACTACGTTTGCTAAATTATATATTAAAATACTGTGCACCCTGACGAAACTAAGCACTTAGATTGATAAATTTGAATTATACAAGTTAGTCAAAAGTTGAAAGACCGTCCATAAAAGCACTATTAAACAAAAGTGTATGTAAAATAGATGTGATAAGTTTGTGTATCTAAATCAACTGCATACATATGAATGTAATGCTTTGTTTTCAGTTCCACCAGGACCCCCTAATATTATTCCAACTAACCCTACTGCGCGAGAGGGAGAGCCATTCACTCTTACATGTTCCAGTGAAGGGGGTAGCCCTGATCCACTCATTCGCTGGTATCGAGAGGGGACTCTGTTACAAAGTCAGCTACAGAAAGGAGGATCACGGGATAAGCCTACTTCGAGTATCTTAACGATATCACCAAAAATGGAAGATGATGGGTCCACCTATCGATGTACTGTGTGGAATCGGGCGATTGGCGAAGAAGAAAAAATTGAAACCAGCGTGAAGTTGAAGGTTCATTGTAAGTTCAACAAATTAAAATTTCCTGAAATTATCAAATTATAATTTCTGATGTTTATTACTTTTTAGGAATCAATAAATAATTATTAAATATGACATCTAAAAGAAAAGTACGGAGCAAGTTACACGTGTTTATTATTTTAGATTACATAACTTTTAGTTAGAAAATTTGCAAGATGGTGGCGCTCCAAAGGTTTATATAAAATATAACATTATATGTATGCGTTTTCATGTGTGCTTTTTAAATTTTTAAATACCCAGCTTCGCTTTCTTTACCAACCTTTTAGATTCTCCAAGAGTGACAGTTGGACCTTATAATCCATTGAATATATTAGCCAATAGTGATGCTGTATTAACTTGTTCGGTGATCGCCAGTCCTTCTGTCCGTTCAGTTCGTTGGTCAAAGGATAACCATTTGCTATCTAACTCGTACAATCACACAATTCTTGCTGTAACGCCAGATGACAGTGGCATTTATACATGTATCGCTGACAATGGGGTTGGAAAAGCAAGTCGGGCCAATCTGGAACTTTCTATTTTATGTAAGTAGTCTCAAAGAATGTTTTTGTCATTTTGTTTTGAATTTTAACATTCTGCCTAAAGTTTCCAATGTTATTTGTTGTTTTTTTAAAGTAAATATTGTAATTTTTGTGTTATTTTAATATGTTTTAGATGGACCTAAAGTCACAGTTGAAAACCAGAAGGAGGTTTCAAAGGGTGAATCTTTATCAATAAAGTGTAATGTGAATTCCAACCCACCACCCCATTCGTTGCTCTGGTTAAAAGAAGGCGATCCTTTCTTCCGGAAAAGTGGTGATATTTTGAATCTCATCGCAGTATCCGCTGAAGTATCTGGAAATTACATCTGTCAGGCTACCAACACCTTACAAGCATCAGGATCTAGAAGTCGGAAGGAAGTTAGGAACAACGCAACAACCACCATTTTTGTACGACGTAAGAACTCTATAATTCTTATCAACGTTGTATGCTACCAGAGGATTGTGAAGCTAATTAATTTAGTTTTCTAATGTTTAGAGTCAACGGTAGCTTTACTTTATTATTAACTTTTTGCACTTAAATTGTCATTCTAATTCTCTTTGTTGTCAATGAAGTTTTGGCTAAACTTTCCTTAAGTAGTTCATAGGAGTACCTCTCGTCTCATACTAAAGTGTATGTATGTATGTATTGCTTTTTGTTAAAATATTGGTTAGAGAATCTAGGAGTACCTATCGTCTCATACTGAACAGTATGTATGTATTAGTTTTTGGTTAAAGTGTTAGTCATGGAATCTAGGAGTACCTCTCGACTCATACTGAACTGTATGTATGTATTAGTTTTTGGTTAAAGTGTTAGTCAGATAATCTAGGAGTACCTCTCGACTCATACTGTATGTATGTATTAGTTTGGAAATTAGGTTATAGTCTATAGGTATTTTTATTGAATCATCTCTGATCTAGACTGTATGAATGTGTTGTATAATGAATATGCCTTTTATTTCCCAGATAAGCCTGGAGATGTTGAGATCGTCCCAAACAATCCTGTGGCTGTAGCTGGGCAGCCTTTTACCCTAACGTGTGTAGCCCGTCCTCCGGGATGGCCGTTACCAGAGTACCGTTGGTGGAAGGAAGGTAAAGAAGGTACAGGCTTGGCCAGAAGGATGAACTATACCATCGTGCCTGTACACGTGAGCCACGAAGGCCAGTACTACTGTCAACCTCAAAATTCTCTTGGTCAGGGCAGCATTGGGTCCGTATATCTCACGGTTCATGGTAAGTTGGGTCTGTCAAACAAACCAAATATCAGATCACTGGAACTCCTACAAATCATAACTTTTGGAATTTTCAAAATTTTAATGGTAACATACAGTACACATGATTTTATTCTAGACAAGCAACTGCTCGAGGTTTTCATCTTGTGTAGTAATACCTTTTCCAATACATCATGCCATCCACAAAGAATATAGAAAACTGTTTCTATTCCCACATTACGTCATTCAAAGATGATACAGAGAACTTAAGTAAGGAAGCATATTAAGCTAATATAATAACAGGTAGGCAAACAACGATTTATAAGCATCAGGAAAAATTTTGATGGTGGAACATACTACATTTTTCGACAGAACATTGGATCATACCTTCTTCAGGTATGATCAGAACAACAGCAACAACTGGCAGAAATTTCAATTTGAAGACTTCCGGGGAAAACCTTGCAAAACAACCGGAAGTGCTCGGAAAACGCTGTTCCACTTTTCCCCGCTCGAAGTTGTTATGGGCTCTTTAATTTGTGATTTTAGGGCTTCACGTAGTTTCTCCTTAGATGGCTGGTTTTCTGAACTGATGTTCTCTTCTAACAAACGGATCTTCAGAGCGACAGGAATCTCTAAATCCAACAAAAAAAGGATTAAATGTGGGGAGAGGGACGGGAGTGCTCTGGGGAAACCAGCTTTCAGTGGTTAGGTGGATAATCAGTACTAAGCAATACAAAGTTTATATATCGTTACAAAGACAAAAGACACAGGAATTAAATGTCACTGAAATGGTGTCAGCAGGTGACAGGATATAGGTAGCGATCAAGTCTGGTCAAGTTTATGAACGGAGGAACAGACATTGCCAAAAAAATGTTGATCTTGTTAGGGCCATTATCACAGTTTAGTGAGAGATCGTATGCTTTGATTTTTATAGTTTCCAAACAGTCTCTGTTTTTAGTTTTGGGTTGGTGTAGGAGAATAATTTCATCCCAAAGTATTTTGTGACAGGGATTATATCTAAAAAAAAAAATATTTCAAAAACGTTTTCCATGATATCCAAGAAAATGAGAAATTATAGCAAAATGTTCCGTGATTTAATAAAAAAAAAAGTCAATAGGTTGCACTACTGAATTCTTCAGAATATTTCGTATGATATTTATATCTACTATGAAAAACCGTTCCGAATTTATGTGGCAAATTTATTTTTAGTAATATTCCAATGGTTATTAAAAGTCATGCCTTTGTATTATCAAGTAGTTAGCTATTTCTTCCAGTGAGATTTTAACTTCATTCTATTACCACTGTTATTTTTTATGTTGTGGTTATATAGTTTACCTGACTCCAATTTTTTATACATTTATGAAATGTTCATGTAGTTAATCATTTTTCTTTTTTTTTCATGTTAGTTGAAGGGGTTTTAGTTCTATGATGTATTTAGCACTGTGTTAGTGAACATCTATTTTTTGTTTTCTTTATGTACAATTGGAAAGGACTGTTTCACTCGCGCCTTGGCCCGTTTGTCTTAGTGGCAGAGAAAATTTTAAAAACTCCTTCTTAGTCATGAAATGTATATTTTCTTTAAAAAAAGCAAAATATACAGCAATACTTGCTTCCAATTATGTTTCTTGGTAACTTATCACCGAAAGTAATACATTTACACCCCCCACTCCCCCAGAGAACTATGAAGTTGGGGGTGGGGTTTGACTTAATAGGATTATTTAACTACCAAAGTCGGCACATGAAACTGATCCGCTATCCAGTTGTCTGTGTATGGTAGATTAAAGCTACACTTTGTTTTTTAACATGGGTCAGATTTTCGAGGCTCCGTAATACAATGTGAAATGTATACATATAAAAAAAAAGAAGTGGAAATATGTATTATATCAGAGAAAGGGTGTAAAATAAAGTATATTTATAAAGTCTCGTACTTCATAGTTATTAAATATTTAATAACTTTATGTTAGTGGCTTTTCTGTCTCCTGAAGGTTGGATTTAAACGTGTTTGTACACTTTTGTAGAATAACATATTTGGATTTCATCTTTGGGTTCAATGACCTCATTTTATTGGCAACTATGTCCCTAGTCCAGTTGTTATATTATCTTAAAAGTCGATAGGAGTAAGATACGTGGCGATGTATTGTTCAAGTTATCTACATGGTAAACGTCGTGCGAGTTCCTATGTTTTTTTTTCCGTTGTATTAGTGTTGTGGATAATCACATGCCAAAATAAATGATTTAATGTCAATAATTGACTATTATAAACTGTTGTATAAGCATTTTGTCTTTGGTATTTAATGACATCTATGGTATATTTCTATAGAAAATTGCAATACGATAGATACTGAATTCTAAAACATATAAGCTCTGTATCTGGAATATAGTGTGTGATATTAAAGGCATTGTATAAACTACAATTACACTTTATCCTTAGTTTTCGTTGGTTTGACATTTCGTCATTTTTCCTTGTTAGAGCCACCATCTATTGTAATACCTTTGATGCCACAAGTAATTAAGCAAGAAGGAGACGCTAGTTTCAGCATTTCGTGCAAAGCTCGTGGAAAACCTAAACCCCAGGTCCGCTGGCTACACAACGGACAAGAAATTCAAAGGCAAATCAATGTATTTAGAATTGAAACGTTCGACCAAGTAGAAGACAAAAATGCTTATTTGGTGCAAAGTACACTGACATTTCAAGGAACAGGTAGAAAACGAGAGACCCTTTCTCTTGTGGACAGAGGGAAATACACTTGCGAATTTGAGAATGGATTTGGAGAACCTGCCAAATCTGAAATGATGCTTAGAATTGAACGTAAGTAACATATACACACGTTTAAGGTGTTTTTTTTTGTTCTTTTTCTTGCACTTCAAGTTTTATTATAGATTAAGTATTATTTGTATTGGGCATGATTCCCCAAAATTTCCTTCAATTAGCATATAGTTTTCTACCACAAGGTTGACTATGACAGTCTAACTAATAATTTCTACACAAAATATTTTGGACATTGTGTGTATAAAATTCAGAAAAGGACTGTTAGTTATAAATGCTGTCCAAACATTATGTAAATAGTATTATAAAGTTTTGTTATAGGTAAATATGTTTATATGTTTAGCATAGCCTTAGAATATATTAAAATAAATTTATATTTTTTCATTTTCAGATTCCCCTGTCGTGAGACACACGTACAATCGCATGGCTTTTGATATGGGAGAAATTGCCATTCTACAATGTAAAATGCAAGCCTACCCGGAGCCCACGTTTGAGTGGTTTTTCAAAGGGCGTATTTTAGACAATTACGGAAATTATGGCACAAATGTTACAGACCTGGATAATGACATTTATGTGGGATCCCTGTCAATCAGAGATGTAAAAGATTCGGACTATGGTGATTACACTTGTCAGGCCTGGAACCAGGTTGGAGACGATGAGAAGACAATAATTAAACTTGTCAGGAAGAGTAAGAAAATATTTGTACACATTTAATATTAATCTATTTTTACTTCATTCTTAGAAACGAAAAACTGTCATTACATCTTTTATAGATATTTTTAAAGTATCTAATTTTTTACATTTATCTCTTTCAATCAAATTATAATATTCAAGCAGTTTGAAAGTTCACACATGAATACTCCTTGAATTGAAAAACAATTAAAAAATATACACCTATAACGTAATTAAATTCCCAGAGCTATACCAAGAATATTGCGAATGATGCCCCCTCACAGAGCACCGACTAGGGCGAGAGTTTCGATCTTTGAAGGCAAAGGTAGATTAATTTTTTTGTGGGGAATGGGTGCAGGATTTATATCTCGCACAGGGTGCTATAAGCAATTGGTATGGTCCTGAACGTTTCTTCAGTTTCCAAAGAAGAGATAAATATAAAATAGTGAGAACATCACAATGAAGTACTAATACCTGATATAAGCAGAATAATAATTCTGTTAGCTTGATATATGTTTCTATTCCTTTTTTCATAGGTGCACCAGATAGACCTTCAGGTATTAGAGCAACGGATGTTAACTCTGATAGAATCACCTTAAGATGGATTGAAGGATTCAATGGAGGATTCTCAAACACAGAATTTCTTGTCACGTATGTAAACCTTGAGACAAGGCATTCCAAAAATGAATCCTGTCGTGATCAAAATCCATGTCAGATTACAGGTAATCCAGTTTTCATTGGCCTACTTTCCTGTGAAGATAGATGCAAACAAATATGTTATTTGATATAGTACTTCTTAAATCCATGTCAGATTACAGGTAATCCAGTTTTCATTGGCCTACTTTCCTGTGAAGATAGATACAAACAAATATTTTATTTGATATAGTACTTCTTAAATCCATGTCAGATTACAGGTAATCCAGTTTTCAATGGCCTACTTTCCTGTGCAGATAGATGCAAACAAATATGTTATTTGATATAGTACTTCTTAAATCCATGTCAGATTACAGGTAATTCAGTTTTCAATGGCCTACTTTCCTGTGAAGATAGATACAAACAAACAAGTATTTTATATGATACAGTACTTCTTACATATGTTGTCCCAGACTCCATATGAAACTGCTTTTATGAATTTAAACTTTTCTCTATGTTCAGTTTAAGATGGTTTATTTAAAGCATTTGAATAACAATGTGACACACGCACACATTTATAGGAAGGGTTAGAGGACAATTTCTATCCTAGTGTTTTAAAGTAACTTAAAGATTTGAACCACCAGCTAATATTTTTTTTATAAGTTAGGGTAGTGGAAGAGTACTAGAATATTGGAAGTTGGCTAATGTTAGTTCAATATTTAAAGGAGGTCATAAACATTATCCAGGCAATTACAAGCCTGTTAGTCTTACATCAGTAGTTGGAAAGATTTTGGAGAGTGTAATTTAAGATGCACTGCAGAGTCACTTAAAGCAGTTTGATATAGTATCAAAGAGCTGGCATGATTTCAGTAAGTCTTGTTTAACAAATCTTCTGACATTCTTTGAGGATGTTACTGCAAGAGTTGATGAAGGAAATACTGTGGATTTAGTTTACCTTGATTTTCAGAAAGAACTTGATAAGGTGCCTCACAAAAGACTTCTTACAAAAATTAAATCTATGGGTGGGGGGAAGTGTTATTAAGTTGGATAGAAATAGAGTAGACTGTAGGGTAGAAAGCAGAGAATAGTAATAAATGGAGTTAAATCTGACTGGAATCACAGTTGCAAGTAGTGTGCTTCATGGCTCTGTGCCGGGTCATCTACTATTTGTGATTTATATTAATGATATTGACTCTGGAATGACTAACAAAATATTGAAGTTTTGTAAATGACATTAAAATTTTTGGAGTGTCTAACTGTATCAAAGATGCTGCAGACTTGCAGGGAGATTTAGATAATTTGGTGCATTGGGCCAATACGTGGCAGATGATGTTTAACTATCCAAAATGTAATGTGATGCATGTAGGTTTTCAAAATTCAAATTATTGTTACAATTTAAATGGGAATACATTCAATACTGTGGTTGAAGAAAAAGATCTTGGTGTTGTGATAGAAAAATCTTTTAAGTCATCTAAACAGGGCATTGTAGCTAGCAATAGGGCTAATAGAATTTTGGATAGCATCTATAGAAATATTGAATATAAGACAAGGGATATTATTGTTTCACTGTATAGATCACTTGTAAAGCCTCATTTAGAGTACTATGTACAGTTTTGTGCTCCCTTCCTCAAGAAGGACATTGAATTGTTGGAGAAGTTTCAGGGAAGAGCCACTAGGATGATACCTGGGATGGTGGGATTGTCCTATGAGGAGAGACTGAAATCTCTAAGCTTGTTTTCTCTGGGGAGGAGAAGGGTCAGAGGGGATTTAATTGAGGTGTTTTAGATTATTAAGGGTATTGATAATATAGATCCATCAAACTTTTTTGTGTTCAGCAGTGAAAAAAATAAGACAAGGGGTAATAAGTTCAGGTTTTGGCAGCGTAGGAGTCATCTGCAGTTTAGACAGTATTACTTTTGAAACACGGTGGTTGGGTTTTGGTATGAGCTGCCTTCAAGGGTGGTGGAGGCAGAAAATTAAAAGATAAGATTGGATGAATACACGAGTAGTAAGGAGTGGTTATAGTTGGGAGCTGGAAGGGATATCCTTGATGGACAAATAAGATCCTACTTGTCCTTTTAAAATTCTATGAATTATGTCCATGCCAGTTGTTTCTAGTATGAAAGATGCAATAACATTTGTTGAATTAGGTTGTTTGTTGTAAGTGTAACTTGTAAGAATGGTGACCAAGCATTTGCACTACAATGCTTGTTTTCTGTAAAATGCAAAGTTATCCATTTACTACAAGTTATTTATGAAGCTGAAAATGTCACTAATAAAAGGCACAGTTTTCAGTTGATACCAATTATTGCATCAACATGCTATCTTGGCTCATTTAAAGAATATTGTTTATCTCGTAAAACAAATGATGTAGAACATTTTATATAAATGTTTGGCTGATCCTAAGTCTAATATGAATTATTCTTGTTTTTAATAAACAGTATTGTAAGTTTTCAGGTAGGAGATTGAACTTGCCGTTATTAGATGGGTACATTTTTTATATTTTATTAGGACTTCAGTCAAATACAAACTACAGGTTTAAAGTGACATCAGTTAATCCACGTGGGTATAGCCCCTACTCTGAAGATATAGTTGTTTCTACAAAAGGTAACTTTTTACTGTTAATGAGGATATCCAGTAAAAAGTTTTGTAAATGTTGGAGAAAATTACTTTTATAAATTTATATAAAAAAAAAAAAAAATACAATAATTTTGCAGAACTCACAAATATTTCCTTATTACAAACTGAATATTAGAGTAAATTCTAAGTTTAAGGCAAACATTTTTTTCACTAATAGTATTAATGCTAAAACTTTGTTATTAATAAGATATTACTACAACTAGAAATTTTAAATTTAGGTCATACCTAATACTTGTTTTTTTTCTCTTTTTTTTGCAGTGAATCTTAAAGGTAAGGCATTTAATTTCCTTTGGTTGAATTTATTATTACAATTTCATAATTCAGAACAAAGCCTAGCACAATTGTTTGGTTGCATTTATATTTAAATGTTAACATTTCATTATAATGTTATTTATCATATATGACATGAACTGACTGTATAAGATATCAAACATATAATTTTTAATTAGAGAATATTTTTGCAAGTTATTTTGTAATGCATGATTGAAAATGACTAATATTCATACACAAGGGCATAGCCAACACTACAGAGTATTGGAGGAGTCTTTTTTTTTTTTTTAAAAAGTGAACTTTTTTTTCTCAAAGATGAATTTACCTTGTAACTTGTAAAACAAATGTATTGAAAACTTAACAAGAAGATAATGGACCTTTTTAGATTCTCCCCACCTAAGGCTAATGCCCCTCTTCAGATATTACAAGCTTTAGTTAAAATTACCAAAATGTTAACAACTAAAAAAAATAAAAAAGGACAATCCTTTAGATGTATGGTTAGTTTGTAGAATAAAGAAAAACAGGGTGGTTGATTTTATTTTTACCTCAATTTCCATTGAAATATGTCACTCCTATGACTACTTTTAACTTTACCAGTTTAATTACCTTAACCTTAAACATTATTTCTGTAATAGATATGCCTCGAGTAGCTGTCGCTCAGTATCATAGAGAATCATACCTTGTATATTTTCAAGTGAACCCTACAGGCCTCAGTTTACTTGCTAAGGTGAGATATCACATTATGATAGAACAATATTAAAAGTGAGAATTTAGCAGAATATTTTACACTGAAGAAGATATGATAATTTATTCTCATTTCATTAGAAAGTCTTAGTAAAGAAAATAAGATAATTTTTTAAGTTGTTTTTGGTTTTTGAGATACTTGGTACACTTTATTATAACTTGTGAGGCTTTACAAGTTGGCTATTGTATTTAAATTTTGTTTTGAATACTTCAAGGACACCATCAAGCATCATAGAAAATATTTTGTTAGAAGCCTAAGATGCAAATATTTGATTTATGTGAAAGTTTATGCTTAGTTCTGGTAAACTATTTCATTCATAAATTGTGATGTAGAACCATAAGGTTTATTTTTTTAGTCAAATGTGGGCCATAATAAAATCTTGAACTTTAGAATATTGACAATTCCATTTATCTATAATAAAATGCTTTTATGTGTGCTATTAGAAAGAAGATATTACCATCATGAGGTAGAAATAAAACCAAACAGTTCTTTTATTTGTGCTATCAGTTACACATGAACATTTTACATATGCCTATGAAATTTAATTAGTACAAAAGGGAAAATCGTGAACATGAGTAATCACTGTGCTTGTTCTATTTGTGTTAACTCTAAAAACATTTAATTAAAAAGTTTCATTTTCAAAATAGAAAATCATCGTTTTGTTCCCACATCAATGATGCACATGTACATACCAATTTCAGAATTCATTCTAATACATTTTTCACAATAGTAAAACAAATTGTGTAAAACATGATGTTTATACAAATTTTGAAGTTTAAAATGTATTCAAAATATTAAAAACATTGGGTTAAAAACATTTTTTGTTTTAAATTGTTGTTACATTTTTGAATTTCTAAATTTTTAAAGAAAAAAAAAGTTGCTTTCAAAGAATATAAATTATTTTTACATAAGAACTGTATGAAAGTTAGAAATTATTTGACATTAATCCCTCCAGTGCAATGTAGAAAAATGTTTGCATACAAGTACAATTTCTGTTTAAAGACATTCTCTTTCATTATTAGAAGTGATAAGTAAATAGCTTTTCGGGAAAGGAGACACAAATGTTGCAGTATTCATATTCCAAATGACACGAGTTTTTATGTTTGCTTATTAGAAATTATACTGTGACAGAATGCAAGTTAACAATTGAATAATGAAGAAATTAGTCATAAAATGTGTGAAAATTATCAAGTTAATTAAATAGTGTAGAAATTAGTGTAAAATGTGTTGACCCCACTTTCATTGTATTGAAGATATAAATGTGGTGGTTTCTCTTGGTTTAGGTGGAAGCTAAGCAAAATGGAGAAAGTGAATGGCAATTTCAGAAAATTATTCCTGTAGAAAAAGAAGAAAATGAAGTACATTTAGATTCTGACCATGGAGAGTTTAGTGATGTTCGAATTGTATTGTGTCTTCAAAGCAACGAGTCATGGTGTGGAGATGAAAAGCTGGCAGAGCCATATATTGGTAAGTGTTAAAGACCTCTTTGGTTAGGTTTATGTATTGACTATGTACCATAAATTGTCAGATTATTTATATAATTATTATAAATTTGAATTTCTTAATCTTTGGGAAAGATTAAAACTTCATGCTCAAATGTGATGTAAAAGAAATCCTGATTTTGTCTGCACTTTTTAAAATACAAATTGAATCAATTATAGATATAATTTTACATGCACAAAATATCTCCCCCCCCCCCAAAAGCCAACAATTAAGTATTTGTCAAACATTAAACTTCAATATATATTATTATTCAAAATAAAGAAAATAAACAGAAACAACAAAATATCTAAGGGTTTTATACTGGAACACGTTATCTGCGAACATATATTATGAGAAGAAATGAGCATAAGTAGGCCACACAGTTTTTTTTTTTTAATATTTAATTTGCTTCACTACTCATAGGTGGAGTTTCTCAAGCTGTAGGAGCCAAACCCCCATTATCTAAATCAACGATGATTATAATTTCCACAATAGCAGCTGCAGTCTTTTTGTCATTTGTAATTCTTGTCATATGTTGCTGTTGGAAGAGAAAAAATAAAAAAAGTGAGTTTTTTTTATTTTATTTGTAAAAGAACTTATGCAGTTATTACTTGAAGAAAACAAGTTTTGATGTTCATGTAAATTCATTTAAACTATCGAGCCATGTTCATATTTGAACTGATATCGGCCATACAATTGTTCTGTATAAGTAGTCTTGATTTAAGATAAATATTTGAAGACTGTTTTCATTTTGGAAGCTTAATGACAAAAAAAATTACCTATTTAAATAGAAAATCTGTCTTTAAAAGTTGTATTGGATATTTATTCATCGTGTAGTATAAAAAAGATAGTAAGCAAATATCTTTAAGTTTCCAAACATCTGTAGTGTCTCTTTTAACAAAGTATTCTGTTATAACTAAATATACATAAGAGATTAATTTGCAAACTTTGTAAGTTTGATTCCACACATTATTTGTGTCTTTGAATACGTTTCTCATTCCTTATATTTTATTACAGCTATGAAAAAAGAATATGAAATGAAAGCAACAAAGTAAGTATACTGAACGCGAGTGCATGTTTATGTATAATCTGGTAAAACAGTAACATAGCAACAAAGTAAGTATACTGAACGCGAGTGCATGTTTATGTA